CTCCAGGGTGACGTCATCGGTCTTGAGGTTCCACCCCACCTTGTACTTGCCGCGCCCCAGCGGCCGCGACACCGCCAGGCTGGGGGCCTTGCGCAGCAGGTTGTAGCTCGGCTCGTAGGTGAATGGCCCGTCAGCCAGGGCCAGCTTCACGTTGGTCACCTTGACAGAGGGGGTGTTTGGGACAGATAAGGGGGGTTTGAGGAGGAGGGCGCTGAAGGAGTACGGTCTTCAAGGGGGGAGACCACACGCGGCCGCTGCCCACAGGCGCGCACGTCACAGCTCGTCCACTGTACGGCCCCAGCCCTGGCGCGCACGCCTCACCCCTGTCACCCGCGGCGCGTGCGACTGCAAGTAGCACGCCCCGCCCGCCGCGGTCGCGCCGCCGCCCGCTGCGGCCGCGCCCCACCTCGTTGCGGTTGAATGCGACGGTGACCTTCTTGTTGGGCGCCACCTGGGTCAGCACCTCCCCCGTGATCACGGCCCCCTTGGTCAGGTAGTTGAGCTTGAGGGTCGACTTCTTGCTGCCAATCTGCGGGAGGGGCGCAGCGCAGCGGCGGGGCGCGGCGTGGGGCCGGGGGGCTCCGCTGCACGCCGCTGGGCCATTCGCGCACGCCCGCGGTCACACGCCTCGCAACCTCCTCCCCGCCCGCCGTGCCTTGGTGTTGTAGGTGATGCCGGTCTTGAGGGCCTTGTTGGCCAGGTTGTGGGCCAAGCTCAGCGTGACATCATTGTTGACCTGAGGCGCACAGGAGGCGAGCACAAGGGCCCCATGTCATTGCCGGTGCCACATCAAGGCGCTGGGGATAACCAGCGCGCACTGGCTAGAGCAAGGATGCGGCGCCTCAACTCACACGAGGCTGTTTTGCCTCCTGATGCATGTGCCGTCGAGGTTCGCAACGGAGCAGCATGCAGCAATGCGCCACGTGCCAGGCCTCTGCTGAACAGCTCGTCTGAACGACCCCCGCGTGTTTGGCAAGGGCCATTCAGGCGCTCAATGCATACCTTGAGGTCACCCGACAGCACAAGGCCAGGCACGGACCTGATCTTCCTCACGGTCGTGTCCTGCGGGCGGTGGACGACCGCGTGATGAGCTTATCGGACGCGCCAGCCCTGTACATGGACGGAAACATATCCATCTCACTCACCGAGAAGCCGACGCCGAGCGTGACCTTGTTGCTGAACTTGTGCTTGAGGGAAACGTCCCCGCTGGCCGTGGGCGAGTGCACAAACTTCAACGCGTCGCCCTCCTTGGAGAACAGGGTGATCCCTGCCTTGGGTGTGGCCTTGGACATGGCGCCGGTGGGCTAGGGATCACGGGAGGCTGGCAAAGCAAGGCCAAGGCTGTGATCAACCGCGTCCGGGCGGTGGGGCTAGATAAGCGTATATACGCAGGATAATTCGAATGTGATTGCCTGAATGCGACTATGTCCCGCGAGCAGGGCAGATACAGGATGCGGCGGCTGACCGAAACCGCACGAGGTGGCGCCGGTCGGCCATCGCTGCAGCACGATTGATCTGCAATTGCATGGTCGCCGGTCTTGCTGATTGAAATAACGCCTCTGAAATTAGCACACGGATTGTGAGGTTTGACTCCGTCTCTGAGAGGTCATGTCCCCGAACCCGCGGCCGTTGACCCAGTCAAGCATGATGCTCAGGGTGCTGGCATGTGCAGCGCTGATCAACTGTAGGCAGCCTAGAAATAGTGTACTGTACCAACACCTTGACTCAGCCATGGCGAGATCATGGTGTGCATGGAACGGTGCTGTCGTGTATGCGCAGATGCAAGTTACGGTATCAAAATCCCCACATCACAAATCAAGCGCTTGGGACAAGAATCATGTGTGAGCGGCTCAAAATGCAGTTTGGGGCGTGCCATCCACCTAATTTGGCTCACTTGCGTGTCTGGTCAGCATGGTTCAAGGTGATAACGTCTGTGGCCAACCTCTGCTGGCTGGCAGCCTCCGAAACCAAAGAGCACAAAGCATTTCCAAGCCCTTTTCTGTCAATTACGATGCTGTTTGCACAATTGGCTTGTGAGGGGCGTCATGGACGCCCACAGGCACTTGAGACAACACAACTTGAAATACCAGCATCACAGGGCGAGCGGCATGCATCAGGCCCGCGGGGCTCAGGGTGTTGTCCGTTATGCACGACGCCATGTTGGCATAGAGATCTGACCAACTTTGCATGCTGTCCCGATGGCGACAGTGAGGGCCAGCACAGCTGCGGTCTTGAACGACAGCATCATCCACAGGCCGTCGTGGCACTCAACTACCAGGGAACTGGCGAGCCACAACCCCAGCGTCTGTTTAAGCCGCGTGGCAGGTGAAATCGTATCGCATTAAAAACATTTATGTAAGGAGTCCCACGTTGCCAGCATGAAAGGATTGCGCAGCCAACAGGCTGCAAACGCAGCGGGAGCCAGCCACGTCGCTGCAGCGTGGCTTGCACGATTATCTGCTCGCGTTCCAAGCACGGAGTAGTGTTCATCGTTGAAGTAATATCATTAGAATGGTGTGTAAGGCCAATCAAGGAGGGCGGTGCTCATCCGCACTCAATAAGGCTTTCGAGTGCCGCGTGGGCTGCTGTCATCACGACGACGACCACGAAGGCGTGATGGACAACGCAACTGTTTCATTGTAGTGAGACTGCTAGGATATTTGTGGGTCTCATCATATGTACGTACTAAACCACCAGGAAAGGTAGATCACCGGTGACCATCATTGACGGCAGCCTAACATGCATTTAGCTGGCAGCCATCGCAGCATAGCCCCAAGAGCTTCGCACACGCCTCCCAGCTCAGCACCGCCGCCGGCACCGTGGCGGGCGCAGCAGCAGTGCTGCGCGCAGCAGCGT